CTTGGACTTGGAAAGAAGAAAGAGAAAACCAAAAAGCTCAAGGCAAAGGTATAAACCATAGGAGCTATTTTGTTTTGGTGATCAATACACTTAGAGAGTGTGATCACATTTAGGATTGATAGCCGTACTATTAAGAGGGGTGAAACTCGTATCGGAGTGCGGTTATCAAAGTGCCACTAGATGCTCTAACTCATTGCATATGCATTTAGGATCTAGTGGAGTGCTAACACCTTTAAAAATGTTTGTGAAAATATGCTAACACTTGTGCACAAGGTGATACACTTGGTGGTGTTGGCACATTTACAAAGGAGGTGGTGTTTGCAGTGTTGAGATGGATTCGGCGCTTTTGGGAAAATGGAATGCCTATTTTCTATTGCGCCGGATGAAAATTCTTGGTGGTTGGCACATTTGAGCAAGGGCGAAGAAGTTAGAGTTGAAATAGAGTTGGTCGAAATGATGCTGGCGTCGGTCTACTGACCGGACGCTGGGTCACTTAGCGACCGGACGCTGAAAGGCTGCGTCCGGTCGTGCTGTCAGACGGCACAGTGGCTAAGGTTGAGCACCGGACGTTGGTCTGTGTCCGGTCAAGGTGGACCGGACGCGTCCGGTCGAAGAAATACGCCTCGGGGAGCTTACTGGAAACGACCGGACGCTGGGGCTTCAGCGTCCGGTTAGTTTTGCCGGAGCGTCCGGTATGCTTCGTAGCCGTTGAAATCTGACGAACAGCGTTTGAAGCTGGTGACGCGTGGCGTCCATCGGGCGACTGGACGCTGAGGGTCAGCGTCCGGTCAGAGCACGTTTTGCCCAGTGAAGGGGTATAACGGTTCTATTTGATTGGGGCTCTATTTATAGCCCCATGGCCGGCTCAAGGGACAACTCTTGCACATTTTCATTGACATAGCAACCTTGTGAGCTTAGCCAAAGCCCTCCCACTCATCTCCATCATTGATCCATCATCATTGTGAGATTGGGAGAGAATCCAAGTGCATTGCTTGAGTGATTGCATCTAGAGGCACTTGGTATTCGTGTTGCGCTGCGGATTTCGCTTGTTTCTCTTGGTGGTTTCCACCACCTAGACGGTTGGAGCAGCGGTGAAGGATCGGCACGAGTTGGTGATTGTTCGTGGCCGCCTTTGGTGATTGTGAGGGGAGTTGTACCTTCCCTGGCGGAGTGCCGAAAGGTAACTCTAGTAAATTGCTCGTGTCATTGAGTTACCTCACTTGTGGGTCGGTTCTTGCGGTGTCCTATCGTGTGGACGAGGTTTGTGAAACACCTCTTAGCCGCCGAACCACCAAGTGTTGGTCGACACAACGGGGACTAGCGTGTTGGCAAGCACGTGAACATCGGGAGAAAAATCGGTTGTCTCTTGTCATTTGCATTCTCCCGGTGATTGGCTATATATTCATCTTGTAATTGGTTCACTCCACGACCCGGCGGTATAATCGTCTCACTTACTCATTTATATTTCCGCAAACTAGATATAGCAAGCTCTTTAGTGTAATTAGAATTGAGAGCTTGCCTTGTGCTTTAAACATATCTAGTGGAGCTCTTTAGTGTAGCTTTTGTGAGCTCTTAGTGAGTAGTGGTCAAGTAGATTGTGTGCCAATAGATCATTGCAACTAGAATTGTTGGATAGGTGGCTTGCAACCCTTGTAGAGTTAGAGCAAGTTTGCATTTCGCTATTTGTCTTACTAATCAAATTGCTCTAGTTGATTTGTAGTTTTTTAAATAGGCTATTCACCCCCCCTCTAGCCATATTAGGACCTTTCAGCCCCGAAGCAGACAGGGTCATCTCAACCGTCTCGTTCGATTCTAACATCGAGTCAAACCCACAGAATCTCCATCGAGGGGAGGCCAGCGAGCCACCCGGGTCGGTCTCCGAAACTACCCAGGCATCTATCGGGTTGTGGGTTATGGAGCAGTGGAGTGCCACATGAGGGCTATGCCGACCCTGTCACGAACGACGGACCCAGACTTCACTCGAACGTGCCCGTTAGCGAGCTCACCGAGCGCGTCACTTGAGCTATCAAGGCAAGCGACGTTAGCTCAGCCCCTCCGGTTGTGAGAAACCGCGGACAGGGTAACGTACAAAACTCAACCGACCCCTACCAAGCCCAACGGGGCTTAGGGGCTCAAGACACCCAAACGCCTCAGCTGCGCCTGGGTCCGCGACTCCGACTCGCCCGATCCCACAGAGCGCCCGACGCTTGGATCCACAACTCCGACTCGCCTGATCCCCCGGCGCGCCCGATGCCTGGATCCGTGAGTCCGTCTCATCCGATCCCTTGGCACGCCCGACGCCTTGGTTAGCGACTCCGACTCACCTAATCCCTAGATCCGCGACTTTGATTCGCCCGAACCCTCGGCACGCCTGACGCCCCGGTAGATGAAACTCCGTCTTCCCCAGTCCCTCGGCCGCAACCAAACTCCTGGGACCACGCTCTTGCAAACGATGGGCCAGAAACTGGAAAAAAGAGGCTACGCCCACCAAAGTGCACACACTCACGCCCATTGATAAAACCCCCCAGGCGATTCTGCCCGAATCGTCCGGGGGCTACACCCGCGGGTGTGCTCGCGTGCACCCGCTGACGAAACAAAACTTCCCCCGCTGGCAACACAAAAAAGCCTCAGACAATTCTACCCGAATCGCCCGGGGGCTCGGGGACTACACCCGCGTGTGCGCGTCAAGACAAAAATCCTCCAGACGATTCTACCCGAATCGCCCGGGGGCTCCTGTCGGGTTCATAAACCCGGGGTCCCTCATGGACCGGCTTCCCAGCAAAAGCTCTGCCCAGCAGACGACGTTGCGAACGACGCACAAACTCCTGGGCTGGCCCAAACACCTAAACCACAGGCCAGAAGGACGATCCAATCTCCGACCGGAAGGCCTCGCTAAGGAGAAACAGCGCTCGCTTCCGACTCTGGCCCGCCTCTCCGACCGGAAGGCCTGGCCAAGGAGAAACAGCGCTCGCTTCCGACTACGGTCCGCCTCTCCGACCGGAAGGCCTGGCCAAACACTGCTTCGGAACTCTGACCCGCGTCTCCGACCAGGGATGTACAGAACCCCTGCTTGCAGCTCTTCACCGACTGGCGCGGTCGGAACCAACTGGGACCAATCGACCGGGGACGCCCGCTCGGTGAGGACCAGGAAACAGACGGAGCAAGTAAGGCAGGGCACTCAAGTCAACCGCAATATCGAGGACCGTACCCTATACACCTACAAGACAGTACCGACAGGACATGTCAGAAGAGTGCCCTGCAACCTTCCAGGCATGTCAGAACCCAAGCAGTGTTGTGGGCGCCGACATTTGTCTTATAGTGTTGTGGGCGCCCACAAACTCCCATGCCAGACGAGCATGGTAAAAACCCCTTGCATGCCTCTGGGCATCAACAGTATGACAGGCACCGACATCTGCCATACCAGAAGAAGACGACGTAACCTCCAACATGCATCTGACATTAACAGTGTTATAGGCGCCTACAATCATCTTGTACCCGATGGTGTGGGAACGAGACTTAGCATACGTACACTCTCTCTCACTTGTAAGGCCATCCCTTTCATCTATAAAAGGGGTGCACTCTCTCCCAAAGGGGAGAATCAGTCCACAACAACTCGAACAACACACACGATCCGAACGACCAAGGATGCCAACGAACAACAAACGTTCGAACACTTAGCACATAGCGGAGCTCCCGTCACTCTCGGCTCTTCAGACCAGAGTCCAATCGGACCTCTTGTACCCTCATCTTTCTCCCTTCCGTTTGTAACCCAACAGCAAACTTCGAGCACCTGGGCTCAGGAATAAAGTCATCGACCGACTCAAACTGGACGTAGGGCACGTTGCCTGAACCAGTATAAACCCTGTGTCATTGAGTGCTAGGCCACATTCGATCACAACGTACGTCAAAACTACAAGTATTTACGTGTTTCATTTTCTGCACCGACAGGAGGTTTGTCAATTTTCTCTATCTTCTTTCATGCTTGATAACCTCAACTCTGTTGACAGGAATATACTTTGGTTTGGTAACAGTTTTGTTCATTCACTAATGACTCAAATTACATTGCAGATCTATGACCCAACAAAAAAGTGGGAACGCTACACAATCCATGGGGATTAGCATGGACCATCATACATAGACAGCTAAATTATTTGTACTTTAGATGTCTGAAATTACTAGCACTCAACGGTATGAGAATGGCACAAGTGACGATTGGAATAGCAGATTATTAGTGTTATTTGCCAACATGTACCACTAAAACTAGAATCATATGACTGTTATTTTAGCGATGCCAAAATTTTCTCCTCTAGATACTTATGTGAAACCTGTATTTCTACTGATGATATTTCCCATTTCCCCCCTGAAATCTTCCTGTTGCGAATTCATCTCATAGTTGCGGCCATTGTTACCACTCTACGGTGCGCGTCATCAATAACTCCTGTCGTCTAGATGTATCTATGATATTAGTCGTGTCTGACTGATAATTGGTTTGCTAGAAAAGTTCATGCTTGACAACAAATATATCAGGGTTCGTTGGTGACATGAATTAAGTTCTCTCTTTGTTTATGCGAGTCTATCGAACTATCGGCGGTAAAGTGCAAACCCTCCTGAATTGTTGAAAACATTCCGAAGAAAAGGCCCTCCTGAATTGTTGAAAACATTCGGAAGAAAAGGCTTGGCTTTCCTTAGTTCTGCGGGTAGCAGCTTAGTAGATAAACCTATCATCTATTGGAACAGGTGAGCACAATAAGAAAGCCATGAGCCCATGATCTCCCAAATCCCAATCAATTGCACTAAGCCACCCTAGCACGAGCTATCTTAACTGACCAAACAGGATTAGGACGGAGATTCCCTCTGCTCCATGCAATGTTCGCCACTCTCCTACTACCACTACACTGGAGCTGGAGTTGCTCCACAAAGCTGCACCAAACCCTCCTCTGCCTCCCTTCAAAAAACCCCGACCCCTCTCCCATTGCCTAGCTCACCAGATCGATCTTACCATGGCTTCCCTCGCCATCCTCCTGCTCCTCGCGCGCATCTCCAGCTCCATTGCCATCTCTTCCAACTACATCTCAAGGAGCACCGAGCAGCAGATCATCGCCACCATCGCGCCGGCCATTGTTCCTGACATCGACGGCCAGAGCGCGCAGCCGTTCCTCACCTCGCCCTCCGGATCGTACGCCGCGTACCTCCGCCGCGCCGTGGACGGCGGCGGCGGCCTCGGCGGGGACGCGTGCTATGTCCAGGTCCAGCAAGCTGGCGCCAGCGGCAGCGTGTGGGAGTCGGACTGCACCCCGGTGGGCGGCGCTGACGCGTGCGACCTGGCGTTCTCGCCGGTGGGTCTCGAGCTCTTCGCCGGAGGGCACTCATTGTGGGACACCGGGGTCGTCGCCGATCCGGGGACTCTGAGCCTTGACGACGGTGGCGACATGAAGATTGTTAGCAAGGAAGGTGTGACGGTGTGGACGGCAAGCGGCGAACCATGGACGGGGCAGCAGTGCGGGGCACCCTTGCCGGTGTCAACGACCGCGCCTTCGGTGGAGGCGCTCCCACCGCCGTCGACTGCCAGTACAAAACTCGTGACGCCGCCAGCAGCGACTTTTGCTGGTGCCGGGAGCACGGACCTTTCTTTCGGAGACCAACCAGCGCCGCCACCGCTCGACACGTTGCCGGACTTGCCGGTCCAGCCGCCACACACGGCACCCGAACAGCCACTGCCACCGCCCGCGTCGCCCGACTTGCCGGACCTGTCGCTGCCACCGCCACCAGCTTACACGTCTCCCGACTTGCCGGACCAGCCGCTGCTGGCACCCCCGCCAGCTGACATGTTGCCGGACCAGCCGCTGTACTCGTCGCCGCCTCCAGCTCCGCCCACCTTTGGCCCTCAAACGCCATTGCCACCTTTCGGGGTGCCACTCGCCGCCCCACCGACCAGCGACACAATCCCAGGCACGACGGCCACGCCATCTGGCGAGCCAGGATCACCAGGCAGCGTGCCCTTCTCGGGACCATCTCCTGTCGGCATGCCACACCCACACGGCGGGCATCCACACCAGCTGCCCCTTGGAGCCTCACCGCCGCTGCAGCCGGACGCGCTGGCGCCGAGCGGCGTCCACGGCGCGGGAACCGGGCAGCCCGGTGCCCCCTTAGGCCATGGGCAGCAGCAGGCGGCGCAGGGCGTGTTCGGCCAGCAGCCACAGCTGCTCAACGGCGAGGGGCAGCCGTTGGAGGACAGCGCCGGTGGGTGGACAAGAAGTGAGAGCGGCAGAGTGGCGGCGTGCATGGCCTTGTTCGCTCTGGTGACACTGGGCTTTGGCTTTTAGTTTCTTCCCCTTTTATGTTTCAGTTTTTGGGATTGATGGTCATTTCTGTACTGTTGTTCTCCGTTGGTCTGATCTGGGGGTCTTTTTGTGGATTGTAGTAGTAATTTGTGTGTAAAACATGTTATATGGTCCGCTGGCTGATTCATTCTGTAGGATAGCATGATCTACAGTATGTACGATGTTTAATTTGTGTATCATCGTGTATAATTATAAAATTTAAGCATGATTCATAGTTGAACTATTGGTGTGGTGGTAGTAAAAATCGATTAGTAATCTACAAGCGTGTGTTAACTGTGCAGAAATTGGAAGCCAAGGTGAGCAAAAAAAAAAAGGAAATTCGATGCAATATAGGTACCATCAATTAATTACGATAAGTAGTTGTAACTTTATCCTTTTTTTTGGAAACACGCGTTCACGTGAATTTCATTATCAGAGTGCCGAAAGAACGGCGTAAACGATGTGACTATGGAAGAACCCATAGCGCAGGATACAAAACCACATGTGACCGTAGTAGTCAATTGAAATTATTTATTTTGTACCGATTTAGGGCTCATTTGATTGTCCTGGAACAAGGCTAGGAATAGTTCCAGCTCATCAATTGTTTTCAAAATTTCAAAATATATAACTGAGGGCCAGTGGAATTACCAAATTAGGACACCACTAATTTGCTATAAGCATATCTTTGTGTGTAGACAAAAAATAGCATCTATACTTCAACACATCAAAGCACAAGTCATCCAATCTTTCAACAATAATATATTTGTTAACCATATCATCTCAATATCAATTCAATACATCAAAAAACATATGTGTGTTCCATGCCAACTTATTCATACAATCAATCACTTCACATATGGATCATATCAAACAAGATCAACTTAACCAACACATATAGCAAAGAAATACCAAATCAAGGGCAGAGACCAATACATAGAAAACACCTTGCGGAGAAAAAGCGACACATGATTGTTGAGCAACCCACTACCAAATAACGAAATATAGGAGGTGGGAGCCAGCAAGGATAGATAGACTCTAAAATCCTCCACGAATCTCGGTTCCTATTGGATTGATTTGATGAGCCAAAACCTCTCCACTTCTCTCCTAAACCTTAGCCTCTCCCACCGTCCCCTTGACCCTGCCTTCCCCTAAGGGTTTCTCCAACGGACTCTGTAAAGCAACTCATGGATGAGCTGTCATCCAATAAATCGATGCATATGCATTCAGAATGTTAGAAACCGACTTCCAAACATGAGTCAATGTGTTAGATTAAAATAGTATATTATAATAGTGAATACAACTGCCAACCACCATACGAACGGCCAGGTTGAGAACAGAATGATTTTTTAATCCTAAATAGTTCACACGAAGAGCCAAAGTATTGCTGGAGAACTACAAATCAAATCAAACGCTTGTCACGTGACCTACATGGGTTGACCCACACTGTAGGTGTCATAATCACTCGTTGACCAGTCGATGTGCAACAACCCACCTCCTCCTACCCCCATCCACCGCTCTCCTGCCGCCCATGGATCCGACGGCGACCTTGCTAATTCGTCGTTGTGTCATGGCCATCACCTAAACCCCGGACCCTTCTTCTCCGGCGGCGGCGCGTGGAGTGGTTACATGAGTGCACGAACGCATGACCCATTTGTGCGGGGAGAAAGAGCCCTACTATAGTGCTGCTACAGTAGGTGTGAATAGGACTAAAGGTGGGGAGAGCCCTCCCAAACACAGGGATACATTTGATCGAACTCGGATCACGATGAACGGGCCCGTACCATGCCATCCTACATGCACCCATCGCTGTACATTCCGACAAAGTTCAAAACCTGGGCAAGTAATTCCGAGGCTACACCCCATTAATCAACTATCATCACTGATGTAGCAAAAAAAATATGAAGAAGAAACGTTGATCTAATGATTGTTCTCGTCTTCTTTTGCCTGAAATTCATATGCTAACAGCAAAACCGAGCTCAACACCATTACCAGAATGCTGCCATTTAAGGAAGCGCGACGTCGATATCGCCGGCGGCGCAGTCTAGACCTTGGCGTCGGGCCCCTCGGCGTGCGCGGCGACGGGGGCGCGGCAGACGGGGCAGGTGGGCGCGCGCGTGAGCAGCCAGCGGTCGACGCAGTCGCGGTGGAAGCCGTGGCGGCACGCGGGCAGCACGCGCACCTCCTCCCCGCCCGCGTACTCCGCCAGGCACACCGCGCATTCCCCTGGCTCATCGCTGCCTGCAGGGTCCGGCGTCACCTGCACCACCACCACGGGGATCTCCTCGAGCGCGCGCTTGGTGTCCTCGGCAACAGCAGCCGCCGGCCGCTGCGCCTGCGGCCCCGTCTCGCCGCCGCCGGGTTGCTGCTGCTGGGACGCGCCGGTGCAGAGGCAGCCAAAGATGGTGCTGAGCGCGACGTACGACACGCTGGCGACGAAGACCACGATGGTGGTCGCCGCGAGCACCAGCTCCAGCTGCGCGCGCTGCGCGTCAATAAGCGACGGATCCGGCGCCTGCGGCTGCGGCGCCCCGACGAGGAGGCCGCGGTCGGAGTAGTGGCCCCGCGCGCAGCCGCCGCCGCCGCCGCCGCATACGCGCATGGCGATCGATCACTCTGCTCAGTCTCTAGCCTCTGTACTTGGTAGCACAGCAGCGGCACTCCGGTCCTCACTCCTCACGCTTGCTGTATGTAGCGTGACACCGAGACGGGTTTGAAGGGCGTGGTGGGACGACACGGAGCACGGAAGGCGGGCGGAAGCTTCGGTTTACTGAGGGGGACGTCGGTTTCTGTTGTGCCTTACGTTTGCTCCTCCTCTCTCTCTGGCTCGTTTGGTCGGTCTTGTTCAAATTCGCTTGCAGCAGTGCCTGTGCCCGCGCTGCAGCCGAACGCTCGAGCCAACACGGGTCGGGCGCAGGGCCAGGCGCGCAGCGAATCCGTGTGCCGGCCGGGGAGTAATGCGGCGCGTGTACCGATAACCTCTACTTTCATGCATTTGAATTGAAGTTGATGTCCTCGTATAATGTTGGGAGTGTGGGCCTCATTGGATGATAAAACTTTAGTTGTCAAAGTAGGCAAGACAAATTATTGATTTCTATTTAGTTAGTTGCCAAAATTTACTAATATGTCTTATTTAGCTCACCGAACCTGTGGCAAATATTTTTGTCTAATTTTTAATAACTTTTAGTTATCAAATCTTTGATTGATATGGTAATTTTTGGAAGCCAATCAAGCAATATCTTGGTTGGCTTTGGCTAGTTGGCTGTGAGGTGGCTACTAGGCACTGCCTACGGTTAGGGATGGAAGCGGGCGGAAAAACTCATCTCCCATTTTTTTTCTATATTTTTAGATAAAACGGGATCGGGTTCGGGAAAAAACCGAAATTAAAAATGGATAGGGATATACATAAATACGGAAATAGACAAATACGGACGAAGAGTCGAAAAATTAAGTTAGAATAACATGATCAAATATTCACGAGTATACATGAATAAAGTCACAAAATAAAAAGACAAACGAAGTTATCGGTCCAATATTCACTAGCATGCCGTGTGTGAACATGTTAACATGCATAATTGGTGACTAGTAGGGTTATCAACATATCAAATTCTAGACATATCTCACATGGATTGAAAACAGGAAAAAAAACGGAATAAATGCGGGTCAATTCTGGATCAAAACGGTATTCCACGGAAACGGGCGGAAAAACCCCTCTCCCGTTTCCGTAAATGATTCCACAAACACAGAACCGAACCGAACAAAATAGAAAACGGACGGGTCGGAACATAATTTTTTTCGTGCATTTTCAACATTACCTACGGTTGCAAAGGTACTCCGCAGATCGGAGATGTGGGGACGCATCTGCATGCGGCAGTATTAGCGCCCGGATGGACGCCCGTGACTTCCATTTAGCGGCCCCACACGAGGGCCCTCTACTCGACCCCACGTGGGGACCACTCGCGTCCCCTCTGCTTCCCTCGCCCGGACGTCGATGCCCACTCAGCGTGGCGCCCCAATAGTTGCAGTAGGCGGTTGCGACGGGGGGTTCCCATTGCAACATGAGGAACACCATATCTAGTTTTGTAACATCCAGATGCAACACTTGCAACATACGTTCGAAACACTTGCAAAAACACCTAAAAACACTTGAAAACCATTGCAAACATATGCAACATCCAAATAAAATATTTATAATATATGCAGCATCCAGATAAATACACTTGCAACATACGCCTGAAAAAATAGATTAAACATTTGAAACAGACGCTTGCAACATACGTATAGTCATTGCAACATATCCAACATCCCGATCTACTTTTGCAACACCCATATGAAACACTTACAGCATACCTTTGAAACATCTCAAACATTTGAAACATACACTTGCAACATGCGCTTTCAGCAAAACCGAGCAGGTGGCCGGGCGAGCGGAGCACTGCATAGCGAGATCCGACGCTAGGTTGCGGAGGAGAAGGAGGATGGCAGCAGGCGGACGGCAGCGCGACCCCCGATGAGTGGCAGCGCTACCCCGGCGATAGGGCAAGTGCAGTGCCCCTGACGAGCGACACCCACGATGGAGGGTCGAGCGGGTGTGGCCTCGCGCGGCAAGGCGGCAGCGGCTGTGCGGTCACAGGGGAGCACGCCGTGGTGGCGCGGTTGCGGTGGAGTGGGTTCGAGAATGGAGACACGAGCTGAGTGCGAGTGAGAGCGTTAGGCCGTTCAGATGACCGTCGAGTCCCACCAACGAAGGTTGCATTGGCGCGGAAGAACTTGAAAAAATCTTTTAAACATTGGTGATTGTTGCGAGGCAAATACTACGGCGGGACGTGAACGCTTTAATTCCGTGAGTTGGATGGCCAGCTAGCCAGCTGCCTAAAGCCAGCCAAACACGCTCGAAAACGCCCAGGTGGACGGACGTCCGCTTCCCAGCGTTACCGTGACGAATGGTTTAGCTGGAGGCGAGCTGAATTTCCTTTGTCCGTCCCTTATCGGTTGCATTTTTTTTTTTTGAGCAGAATGGGTTGCAACTAATGAACTAAGTACGGCCTACGGCGGCGCACCGTAAAGCCCAGCTGAAACTGTAACTAGGCCTAAAAGGCCAGAAGGCCTAGAGCGCTGTACCCAGTACAGGCCTGTGGCGACAACTGGACATTTGGGCCTTGTAGGCCAGTACAACATTCATTCTCAGCAGTCCATCACAATTTCAGTTGGCATGTCGCCCTCACCGTGGATAAGGGCGTGCACAGCTCCTCCTGCCCAAAAGGCAGAGAAGAAAAGGTCACCGCAGTTTTGAAGAAACGAGCGCGTGTTCAGTTACACCAAAATCCCAAAAAATACTACAGTATCTGTCACATCGAATATTTACAGCCTATGCATAGAGCATTAAATGTAGACGAAAAAAAAACTAATTACACAGTTTGATGGAAAATTGCGAGACGAACGTATTGAACCTAATTAGTCCATATTTAAACACTAATTATCAAATAAAAACGAACGTGCTACAGTAGCTCCAAATTTCAACCTCAAGAACTAAACACGACCTGAAAAAGAAAAAGATGTTGATTGATTGATGGGGACCTGAATCAAGTGGAAAGCCATGTGGCTTGTGTTTTGCCAATTGTTGATTCCCTGCAGAACCCTTGTGATTGATTGATTTATTTATTAGTCGTGGGGCCGTTGTGCTCAGGCATCACGAATAATTTCAGCGGCAACTTGTCACTTTGCCAGGTCATAAACATTTTTATCAATGCCATGCCAATCCTGTTGTTAATTACACAGTATAAGCCGACATAAACTGCTCGAGCATAACGTTTTTACACAAGGACGATGCGTTAGTGAATTGGCCAAGGAGAAAATGTTAAAATCTTTTATATTCTAGTACCACTGAAACGCTAAAACGCCTCTCTTCCCATCACTCGAAGTAACGTACGTAATTACTAGTAGTATAACAACATGTGAAAATTCCATCACTGTATATGTTTATTCCTTTGCTCCCACGAGCAATTCATCACTACATATAAATCACATTCACATGTTCCTGTATAGAAATATATACTGCACGTCTGGAGTGTACACTACACCGTACATACACTGCAATGGCCGTACGTCTCGATGACTACACGCAACACTACATACATAGAACTCCTAACAAGACAGCAAACGCACGCTCTGCACACTAGTCGTCCCGACGCCGACGAGACGGACCAGCAACGGACTAATAGCCGTGCCTGTAATCGCGGCGACTCCTCTAGTTGCTACGAGCCCCATGCACGGGCACCTCCTAATAATTAATCAAATCACGCGGTGCCACGGGTTCGTCGACCGATCAAGGTCATCACGCGGTGCCCTCGACGCGCGCCTTGGTGACGCCGGCGCAGGCGTCGACGAAGTCGCCGTCGATGAAGTCGGTGGAGAAGACCTGCAGCTTGTCGCCGAGGCCCTTGGCGAAGACCTCGGCGATGAAGAGGCGCGCGTAGCCGTGGATCCGCTTGGTGACGGGCCACACGCACAGCACCGGGTTGTCGGCCTTGGGCGTCACCGTGTTCTCCACCCGGTAGAAGAACCTCCGCTCCGCCACGGCCGGCTGCTGGGCCAGGAACTTGAGGTTGCTCTCGAACTTGGTCTCCGGCAGGTCCGTGTCGATCCAGTTGTCCCTCAGGTACCCGGCGCTCCACAGCGGGTCCCCGGGCTTGGGCGCCGCCGACTTGCGGGGCTTCCACACGCAGATGACCCGCCGCGGGAGCAGCTCCGCCACAGTCTTGTGGAACACCGCCTCGTCCTGCGGGATCAGGTGCTCTCCGAGCTTCTCGACCAAGAACTTGTCGAACTCCGGCGGGTCCTCGTGCCCGTACTCGGTGCGGATCTCCAGGACCACCACCTCGGACTCGGTCTCGCCCAGGAACCTGGCCACGTCGTCCAGCACCACGTCGACGGGGTACGTCGCCAGGATGCCGTGGCAGACGCGGCGCTCCTCCTGCACGCGCACGTCGATGACGCGCGTGCCCGTGGCCAGCTGCTCGTACACGGACATGGACTGGCACTGCGCGAAGGGGCGGGTCACGAACGGCACGCCGATGCTATTGGTGGCCGAGTCGTGCGTGCCGGGCCACACCACCTGGTGCACGCGCAGCCTGTCGGCGCCCAGCTCCGCCATCCACCGCTTCCGGTCCGCCGGCCGGTGCTCCGACCCCGGGAATGTGTCGCCGGAGGAGGAGAGCCGCGTGGCCAGCGCCCGCTTCTCGGTGGTCACCAGCTTCCGCCGGTCCACCTGCTTCGAGAAGAAGGCGCCCATGGCTTCCAGCGGGTTGGTGGTGCCGTTGTTCTTGCCAGCGCTGCTGCTGCTATTGGAGGCAGCCATGGATGGATGGATGGATGGATAAATTAAGGATCCTGTGCTGTGCCTCGAGCTCTGACCTGGACCTGCACGTCGCTGTAAGCTGGAGACCGATTGATAGCAGCTCGCAGCAAGACAAACAGGGAAGGAAAATATCAGTGCGTGGGATTAGCCAACATGTGGTGATAGATGCTTTATTTGTAGGGGGCTTGGGCGCTTGGCTGATCGATCCGGCGGGAGGAGGAACGAGGAAGCGAGGCGTGTTCTTG